AAGCGTTCTTTCATTTCTCTGAAAGATTTTCTTTCAAACAACAAAATTCGAATCACCTCACATATTACGCTTTTCAAAATTTTGCTAGCAATCTGCGAACGCGAACACGAACTCTTCCCACGCGGTTAATACAAAACTACGCGTCCGATTCGAATGAAAGTTAGACAGTAATCGTTTAGGAGAATTGTTTGGCTACCATCCTCATGTAAGCGCGTAAAGTTTCAAGTCGGTTTATGTAAGCAAGTGGCTTGTCGAGGTTAATGTTGGCACATATCTGTCTGAGATGCTTTCAATCAACTTCACTCAAACTCACTACACGACCAATTTCATTGTAGGCTGAAGCAGGAAATAATTGCCTTCAAATCTGTAACACTAGGAACTCAAATTGTTCGAACAATCACATTAAATACATACGAGTGTATCCGCTATGTAAGTTTCGGATATAGACGGCACGCTTTGCACACACGCCCAATTAACCTCTGCTTGACATAATGGCGCCGCTCACAAATTAGCACAACTTTTGTTGTTGTTGAAAGCTGGTAGTGAGCACCGAAATTCCTTTTTGCAACCACACTGTATTCCCCTCCTTCATCACAGGGTCACAGATGTGTTTGGTTGTGTGTGTGTATGTGTCTTTCCAAAAAAAAAAAAAACTGAATTATATTATGCTGACAGTGTCAGCAAACGCGTCGCTGACAAAGTTTACAAACACACTGTCATTTCCGCCTGTCCCTTGCACTATCTTTATTCTACTCACTTAAATCCATGCTCGCACATACAAACACACACACACAGACACTTACGTGCATGCATTGCCGTTGACCTAAATTCGAAAGTTAAAGCGAGTACGCCACTGAAAGCATAACAAATATCTGAGTATGTTCAAAGATAAGCGAACTACTCAAAAGGATATACGATCACAAACATACACACACAAGCATGCAATCATACACGTATGCTTATTTATGCATTTACTTATTTATTTACACGAGCATTATATATATATACGTATACTAGTCTAAGCAACCTACACACAGGCGCACACACACACACACACGTAGACCTAGTCAAGCGTCTGCGCTTCGAGACATACGCAGGCATACTTGTGCCATAATGAGGCTCATGAAAACTTTAGTGTCCGATAACAATGGCCCCAACAATGTACAGAACAATAAATAAATCAAGAATAACAACAAAGCATATAAGTAATGAAGCACCTACATACACACACATACAGCCATACAAATAAAAATATATTTATATAAAATGCAAGCGCTTTCAAGCAACTTCTGCGCTTAGCTGTAATTGTAGCTGCGCTGTTGGCGCCCACTTTCTAGAGATCGCTCTAAATTGCTTATTGTCTTCTTGCAGACACTTGAAAATTGTGTGTTCTTTTTTCGGTTTAGCAGTGCCAAAGCATGTTGAGTGTATAAAACAGAAAACAAAATCAAAATAAAGAAAAATGTTTAAAAATATGAATAAAAATATTATTATAATATATATATATATAATATTATAAAAAATATTTCTGAAGAATAATGGTAAAAGATAAAAGACAAAATACGCCATATTTTACAATTTTTCTTCGCTAAAGGCAAAAATGAAAGCCAGGCGGCCGAATATGTGAATGGTGTTTATGGTCTTGATACTGTAACGGCCACTCACGCTCCATTTTGGTTTCGTCGATTTCCTATTTTTGATTACCAAATTATTTTTAATATCAAAGATGCATCACACTCTGGAAGACCAAGTGTCAAAAATATTGATAAAATAATGGATATCGTCCAGTCCGGCGGATATACACATAAGCACTGTTTCGATTAGCCAGAAGCTAAGCGTTGCACAAAAAACCGTTTGAAACCATTTAAATAAGGCTGAATATGAAAAGATGCCCCATCTGTGAATTGGTGCTGAATACCAACAAAATCATCTATCTATTATGAAGGTTACTGGTGATGAAAAGTAGTTCACGCGGTGAGCCATCGCAAACGGTGGTCAAGCAAAATTTGCCGGTCAGCAAGTTTTTGCTATTTGTTTGCTGTATTTGGCAAGGAATCAGCTACTTTGAGCTGCTCCGCTATAGGCAAACTCTAAATCGGACCTATACGAGTATATAATGTCAACAATTATATGGCCCAAAAGCGATCAGCTTTGGCGAATAGGAGTGGGCTACGGTTTCATCACTCTAACGCCAGAGCATACCATATACACCAATAGTGACTCGCTAAAAGCTCCGTGAGCTTGGCTCGTTAGTTTTTATGCATCCATCTTATAGTCGGGACCTGTTAACAAGTGATTACTACCTGTTTTTGTCTATGGAGAATTTTTTTGCTGTTGAAAAATTTTCCGCTAGTGAAACTTGTGAAAAGTGACTGTTCCAGTTTTTTTTTTCAATAGGGACAAGCTTATCTACGAGAGTGGCAATAATATATTTCCTTCTAAATGGCAACAAGTTATCGCATAAAACGGTGCATATCCTAACTAAAACCTTCAATTTCATACAAACATTTTTCTTTTCGCAAAACCATACATATTTGAAAAAATTAAATAGTTTTCAAAAATTATTGGAAATTAAAAAAAAAAAAATTAAAAAAACGAGTTGAAACACTTCAAGTTTGAACCTTTAAATTTTATTTATTTATTTCTGGTCAAGAAATTCCATTACAAATAAACGAATCTACTTGAAATCTCGTGATTTAAAGTTATGAGCTCAAAAAAAATTTTAAATTTTGCAAAACTACGTTTTTTGGCATACTTTTTCTACCTTTTTCAATTAAGCAGAAGAGATCTCGTACCATTCTTGCGATTGTGTTTGTCAAATTTAGATGAACTGGTTACCTTTTTGGCAAATTTGTAAGCTTGAAGTTAGTCTATATAACCGGTGTTTTTTTAGACGCAATATTTTTTTCGTAGTTCGTCTTTTTGACAGCTGTTACTTGATTAGTACTCTGTTCGGTTTACCGTTTCATAATAAACAGCGTTACAACATCCAACAACGTTTGAAAATCGTGCAAATTTATTACCAAATTAATGGTTCGGTTCGCCCGATGCATCGCTTGGTAATTCGAGCAACCATTGATCGGTTTCGCACCACGTTTACTATAGTGGGTAATGCGCAACATCAGAAACATACAGTGCGCACCGAAGACGCTATTTCTGCTGTGAAGCAGAGTATCGAAGAAGACCTGAATGAGTCCATCCGCCAATGCGCGCAACAATTGGAGCTGTACCCATCCACTTTATGGAAGATTTTGCAGAAAGATCTTGATTCGCAGGCTCACAAAATCCAACTCGTGCAAGGATTGAAGCCGAACGACCATCAGTTGGGGAATGGGCTCATAACGAGATGGCCACCGATCCCGATTGCCTAAGAAAGTGTTATGAAGCGATGAAGCTCACGTTTAGTGGAATGAGTACATTAATAAACAGAATTGGCGCTTTTGGAGTTATGTTAATCCATAAAAAAAAATCGCTCAGAGAACTCAAGGCATACCAAAAAGTGCATATCAGAAGTGCTTCTAGGATTGGAAAAAATGCCGGCACAAGTGTATTATATCTGAAGTGGACTACTTTGAAGGCCAAATAGAAATTTATGATTAATAAAGTTTTTATTGAAAATTAAAATTCATCTTATATTTTGAACAGACCTCGTATATAGAGATTAGCAAACATTTTAAGCCCCCAGAAAATCCACACTTAAAACATAATATTGTTAAAGGACTAGCCAAGTAGCTTTGTAAGCAGATATATATATATATATATATATATATATGCACATTAATACTTATATAATAAGCCAACACATCTATGCTCACTGGCGAACCAACCACCTCCGCAAGTTTATATACAACAATGCGCCACCGCTTACATAATCGCTTTACCATCAGCTTAACTGTGATTTGAACTGATTTCGCTACGTTGCAGCGCTGTTTATTTTTATTAAATTAATTGATTTTCTTGTTGTGAAATATTCACCTGCCAGCTGCACGAACAGAAGCAGTCACTGCTGCTAAAACAACACAAGCACTTAAGTTGCCTTAACCCGGTGCTACACAGCGTATACGCAACGTTACAATGGTGTTCGCAATTACATTCTTGCTTTTGTTAGCTTTGCATTTTTTAGCTTCTACCTGCTGTTGTCTGCACTTCTTCAACCATTATTCAACTATTTAGGTTGAGTTTGCGACTTTTATTTAACCACAAAACCAGATAGCTGGATCTTAGTTCATTTAGTCAAGAGGGGATTGACATCAAAACGCTGCTGGGGAAGTTCATGCAACGTTGCATGCGCCCCCTAAAGTGTCGAGTAAGCGGTAATGACGGTGAATGTCAACCACAACAGTGGTAATACGTAAAACGGTTGACTGCTTGACGCTGTTCGACTATCTGTCATGCTTGTTGTCTATACGCTTGTTTTTGCTGACAGCCATGCTTGCTGGCGTGCATTCATCTGTAGCGTTGTTGGTGGGCGTTTTGTCGAAGTCTATTTAATTAATTGTCGGTGGTTAGCGATTAGGATTGTTGTAAATTGTTATTGTTGTTGTTTATATTGCTGTTGCTGGCATGTGCAAGTTTTATCGGGGAAACTATACACACACAAATGTATATGCATTTGTATGCACACATCTAAGCTTTCATACAAATTTCCAATGAACAATGCTCGATACAAGTACATCTCAAAGACTTATATATATATATAATATATATAATATAATATATATATATGTATGTGTTGCGTTGCTAACTTTACGTACGTTAATTATTGATTTTTTAATTGGCCCTTGCAGATTGAGTTCAAATGGTTTCGAGGCCGTTTTGCGTTAAATTTGCAATGTCATTGCTATTTATGGGCTGTAAGTCTATTCAATTCACTGAGTTCTAAGGAGCGCAAAACTTTTACTTGTGCTAAGTATTTATTAACCTTCTCCATTTTCATAAATTATATATACACTTTATTTTATTTTTAAATTTTTTTTTTTCTTATTACTCTTCTCTTGCAGAAAATATGAAGATCAATGCAAAAATGGCCACCCCTATAGAGGAAAAGGTCGACCAAAATTTAAAGGTAAGCTTTATAAAAACAAAAAAAATTATATAAAATAACAATTATGTACAATTGATTTCAAAAATACTGATATGTTATAACAATTGTTTTAATTTTAATAAAATTGAATTTGAGTTATGATGGAATCGAGCTAAGTTCAGCTTGTTAAAGAATACGTAATAGTAAAATATGAAGTATTTTGTTAAAATATTTTAGCGCAATTCATTAATTTCATTTTTCAACTTTATCACTTCATCAGTAGTAAAAATGTTATTAGATAAACGAGTTTTTATCTGAAAATACCGTGAGAAATATAATTTAAATAAATAGAAGGGAATTAGTAAGGGTTTTGAGAATTTGTAACGCTCCCTTTACTTTTTTTATACAGATAATAATACTATGCTTTAAACGAAAACTTCATTCCATCAATTATATCGAAGTTCAAGAAATTATTACTCAGATTCTATATATAACGAAATTATTGACCACTTAAATCTCTAAAATTGACTTCCGCAGAGTTTATGTTCGTTTATACGCTTTTAATAGTCTAGATGATCAGGCGGATTCTACTACACCGATTACAATTTCCATTTGATTCATAGAAACCCCGGGTTATAATTATATTCACAATACATTTATTTCTCCCCAATGAGCATATGACTTTTCTAAGTACTTTAAAAGAAGGGCAAAAAAAAGAAGCTAACCAAAGAGAATGAAACAAGAAAAGACCTTAACTTCGGCTGCACCGAAGCTATAATACTCTCCACAGGTGCATTTCTTATCTCATATAAATGTATAAAATGATCTTTCTCTTGATTTTGATAAGTCAGTTTGTACGGCAGTTATATTCCGATTGGTGTCCGATCTAAACAATTTCTTCCAAGGTTATAGAATTGTGTTGGACAATAATCTTTGCCAAATTTCGTGAAAATATCTTCTCAAACGAAAAAGTTTTTTATACAAGGACATGTATTCAACCGTTGAGTTTATATACCAGCTATATGTTAATTTATTCCGATATCGGCGGTTCCGACAAATAAGTAGCTTTTTTAATAGATAAAGACGTACAATTTTAGTTCGATATCTTAAAAACTTAGAGATAATTTCGTGTATATATTACATTTCTATATATATTTTATTGGGTCACAGACGTTTTCATCTGGGTGAAACTAAATATACCCTTTTCAATGTATACAAATTTGATTAATATGCAAAGACATGCCTTTCATCTACTCTTGTTTATAATCACTATTGACTAAGAAATCTGAATATTAACTTACCATATTTCTTTACAGATCCGTACTGGTATGGTAAATGTCAGCGATGGCAAAAGTAAACCAGAACCACTTAGACTGAATTTAACTATGGAACTAGTAACCTTACAAAGGCTAGAGGTCGTTACACCAACAAATCCTCATAATGGGCCACCAATGGAATCAAAGGTAAATAGAAACCGCGAAAATAAATTAATAAATATTATTTAATATTATATAATATTTATATAAAAATACTCGATAACTTTTTTTATTTTTGTTTTTTTTTTATCAAACAGGTTATCATATACATATACACAAATGTTGCTTAAGACAATTTTTTGCTATAAGTAATAGAAAAATATGATAACTATTATGAATTTTAGACAGAAAATTATATAATGGATTTGTATAAGAAATTATCTCCAATAAGGCTCAGGAGATCAATAACGTTACAATATTCAAGTTTGCGGTTAAGTTGTATTTTATTGTAGCTCTCAATACTCCTAAATAGATAGTTTTGAAACACTAATTCATGCAGAAAATAGTGGATTCTCTTCGAAAAGAATTTACTTACATAAAGAGATATTTCTCAGCTTGGCTGCAAATATAGTTCGGACATTGCTATTCAGAATTTTCGTTACTTTGGTGCTGTCTCGATTATTTAGATTTCTCAAGCATAAGGAAAAAATGAATATTAAGTAATTCTAAAAATTCTAAATTTAAAATTTTTCCCTAGAAGCAATTCCCAAAATGCTTTCATAATAGCAAAATAAAACTAGTCGCTCTATTCTATTTCCATAAGCTTCAAATGAATTAGTTGGAACTTTAAATTGAGTTGAGTGTTATAACTCAGAAAATAGTTTATGAACGCCCAGAGCGAACACGCATGCAGCTGTGCGCAGTGCAATATTTATCAGACGAATATGTACATATATATTTACATATGATATATATAATGCATATGGTATGCATGTACGTGTGTAGCATAATCATAAGTATACAACATGCCTCCAAGCTTCAACGAGCAGTTGTATGCCACAAAAGCATAGCAATGGCACAAAGACGGAACAGTTATTATATATAATTAAATATTCGATTGCATGTAGAACGTGACAATGTCCTTGAGGGAAAATGAAAACGAGTTTCACTCATGCACACACATGCATACACACTGGCAACATGGATAATTGGATGAAATTGCAGCGGACGAATATGCAAATGTGCATTTGTAGTGTCAGATTGTGAAAATAATTCAAATTAAATAAATTATTTGAGGCAAAGCTTTTTTAAACGAATAACTCAAAGTGAATATATTATATAATAAACAATACTGATTTATGATAGTTAAAAAATATGCGTAATTTTTAAAAGTAAATTACTTAATAATAGCTTAAATAAACTGTTATACGAGTATGTATCGTTGACTGGAAATATACACAAATATATGTTACATACTATTTTTGCTCCCCTCATTAAAAGCTCACAAATCATTATTTTTAAGCATGATCCTCCCCTACTATTTATATTTAGCATTTTGTAAGCTTTCTTTTACAACAACAACACACCATTAATATCATGCTTCTTCTTATTTGTAATTTTTAGGAGCGCATGGTGCAGATTACACGCCAAAAGCAAGGCGGCCTTGGTCTAAGCATAAAAGGTGGTGCCGAGCATAAATTGCCCATTTTAATATCGCGCATCTACAAGGATCAAGCGGCGGACATTACAGGCCAACTATTTGTTGGCGATGCGATAATTAAGGTGAATGGCGAATACATCACAGCCTGCCCGCACGATGATGCGGTGAATATATTGCGTAATGCTGGCGATATTGTTGTGCTGACGGTGAAGCATTACCGTGCGGCGACGCCGTTCCTGCAAAAGCAACGTGAGTTAGCATAATGAAGATTTGCGAATAACCAAATATATTACATTTTATACACGTACTGCATATTAATATCACCTAATACGCTTATTTGCTCTGGGCATTTTGTGCCAAAAAACGACTTAGTTGTTTAGTCGAAAAAATTAAGCACACCTTTTTTTGCATAAAACGCAGATTGTTCCATGATAGTCAATCCATTTTAAAGAAGCATTCATTCTCTAATTTCCTCCATTATTTTCACAAAATTTAAATATTGCAATTTCTTTTTTTATTTCCAAAAGTTTTTTTTTCTTTTTCAAATTTTCTTGAAGCCATTAGTTCAAGAGAACGATAGAATATGGAATATTTATACATATTAATTTCTTCATTCTATGCAACCGATTGCAAACGTAGGCGGTTCGATTAATAATTAGCCCTACCGTGCGATGGCTCCACTATCGCAGGTGAAATTTATTATCATACAGTTTACTTTCATATACGACTTCTCTCAAAACTCAGTCACATCGGACTAGCAGTTTTGTTTTGATCTCGTATGGAAGCAGGCGTATCGCAATTTTTAAAATGAAATCAAAGAACACTTGGAAGCTGTATTCAATGATTCTTCTGCTTGGATGACGGCTGTTAAAAATTGGTTGAACGTGATCGTGCATCCGTTTTTGATGAGCCACGTATAAGTGGCCCGAAAATGGTTATCAAGGAGGATAACGTGACGAAATTCCATGTTTTCGTATTGACAGACTGCCGCATGAAATATAGGTGTCGAAGCTCACTCCTGACAACAAACGCAACCGCGACACCAGCTCGCAGCAGGGTTTTCAAACCATTTAAACGAAATCCAAAGAAGTTTCTGCATCATTTCGTGACCGCAAATGCAACATGGATCCATAGGTACAAACTAAAGGCACATTCGAAGCAGTGGACTTCATCTATCGAACCTGCTCCGAAGATGACGAAAACTGTCCTATCCTTCGAAAAATTGGTAGTCAACCTTTTTTTTTGAATTATTATGGAATTATTGGCTCTATTCAACGCCGAATCGCGGAAAAAATAACCTCACTCAGTCAAAATAAAAGTTCTCTACCATCCTAACAAAGCTTCGGCTCACAATTTTGCCATAGCCACGGCCAAATCGGTTGATATCAGTTACGAAATTCTGTCCCATCCATATTATTCGCAGATTTGAACCCGTGTGATTGAGTTTTATTACTAAACTTAAAAGTCACGAAGAAAGGAAAGCAATACTAATTTGCAGACCTATTTATTCTTCAGAATAATCAATATACAAGTATTTTCTAATTATATTTTAAAAATAAATTTTATTCAATGCAAGCCTAAATATAAGCAATGAAATAACTGTGGCATGCAGCAACCAAATTAAATAGCCCGCAGCCATTTACTAAGATAACAAACGAAAGCAATGATGTGCAAAATCCAACAATTTTCTTATTTTTATTTCGCTTTCATTTTTTTCACACAGAGCAAAATACAGTTTATTACTTTAAGAAGAGTTCATTATTTAGACATTTGTTGTTTTGAGTTGAGTGAAACTTGTGCTCATTAAGTTGCCAAGTTCCTCTGAGAATAAAGTTCAAAGCAATACAAAATTGGCATGTGTCTGATGGTGGCCTTTGAAACCAGCACACACTCATACACACAAACGAAATTGCATATGTACATATGAGTGGAGGTGCACAAACACATGCAATTCGCAGAGTATCCTTACCCGCGGCTCCTCATTTATGCTTTAATTAAATTTAATTACACGCGACATTTCACAATTCGTAAAAGGAATCACGAAGTTCATAATTTCCATGTAGTCCTGGTATTCATATATCATGTACGTACGAAATTTATGATGATGTAATATGTATATACATATAAAATTTTTATGTCCTATGCCCCTATGTGTTGTACTTGCCTTCGGGATCTCATTAATCATCATATGAGGATATAAGCTTAATTTAAAGCTTGATTACAATTTCAAAGACTTGCTTTTAAATTTAAATTATTGTCTATTCTTTAAAAAATAGAAATTTCAAGTGTGACGAAATTTTTTTAAAATTTTTTTAAAGTTAATAAAACCACATATATTTAAATGTGGGTAGAGCTTTTAATTGAGCTGAATTTTACCCAAGTGCGACAGCTGTTCGGCTATTTTCAAAGAGAAACTGCCTAAGTACTTTAACCTAAAAAAGCAACTGAGTAAGTAGTGGTGCGAAGAACCAATTTCATCCGCACTGCAGCTAGAATTTTTAAATCCAGAAAAATTCACTTATCTGATTGATTTCTAGACGATTCGGGTCGGGTGCTTCTCATTAGCATATGAGTTCTTGCGTGATCAAAGCGATCTGCGAACAAAAATATGCATAATTAAAAGTAAAGCACAAGGGTTCGGCATTATTTTAAAGACGTTCCAAGTAATTGAGGTTAACTTTTCGTGATATTATCTCTTCCCTTTTTATATGCTCCTCTTTATTACTAAAAGTGGAGAAATATTCAGAAGTTGAAGATCAAGAAGCCCTCTCTTGCTAGATTGTGCTACAAAGTCAATTGCTCAAAGCTTTTGACAGTGGTCTCCACTCTCTTTTTAATAACCAACTTTCTGCCTGAAATAATCTTTGATGTTTTGAAAACACTAAGATAGGCTTAAGTTGTTTATTTTCGACCTTTAAACCTCGGCACTTAACTTAGAAACACTCATGCAAGAGTTTTCAGTACCAGCATTCTCTCCTGTACAGTTATTTTTAAAATGAGTGACGAAAAAAGTATAAATAATGAAAACCATTTCCGTATATATCTGTGGTGAAGACACCAAAGTCTCGGAGTACAATCAGGAGAGTTTCTAAGGGAGAGAGAGCTAGCGGTAAAATATTTCTAAGACAGGATTGAAGTACTTTTTATTATTATAATCCAAAAGAACATATTTCGTCTCTGTCGGCAATTTCAAAAACCAGTTATTATTCTATACCGGTTTTTATTCTATCTTTAAATACTTTACCGTCGACTCATAGTCATTAAGTTAGAGCTAATTGGCTACAGCAACTCGCAGTAGGTGTGAGGGAAACACTCTTTAGCCATGTCCGTCCTATACCTAGGAGTCTGCTGTGCTTCTTAATCAGTTTAAGGATATTATCGGCAATCGCTCAACTTAGACTTTGCACATTCTTTCTTTTTAATAGTAATGGCTTTGAAGACCTGCATAAATATAATATCTTCTCATGAGAACCGTAAGCCATATGAGGGAGCTAAGTAATAAGCCTACTAAATCTAAAAAACAAAAAAAAAATTTATTTTTTTCGATGAAAACCCATACAACCAGAAAATTTGTATCACAGTCACCTTACGTGAACTTTAGATAAATTAAAAAATTTTCATGTTTAATAAATGTTTATGAATTTAAACACTGAGAATATTGGATCAAAATAACCGGTGTTATGGTTAGTAGTCGATTTGATATACGCGACCTAGTCCCTCAGTGAATTTTCTATATCGGATCTATAGCACAAAGCTGACATACAAACTGAACGATTAAAATCAAGTTTTTATATCAAAATTTTTTTAGCAGATAGAAATAGCAAAATCAAGTTCTTGTATGGAAACTTCTCACAATTTGTGAGGGGTATTCTAGTTTCGGTGCAACAGAAGTTAACATTTTTTTCTTATTTTGGGTATTTTTCCACCAAAACATCTGGACTAAAAAAAATATCATAAGCTGCATCAATATTTTCTTAGCTTTAACATTTTTAAGCGTCTAAGCGCCAAAAGAAAGAACCCAAGCCTTATTAAAACCTTACCTGTTTTAGAGCTTACGCACAAAATCACAAAGCAAACAGGAAGCAAACAAAAACGCCGTCTGTAAAAACAAAAGCAGACAAAAACATTAAATGCATGAGGAAGGCAAGATTTACTACTTGAAATATTATAAAAACGCGTGTAAGTAAATATGAGCACACACGAACACATGCAACTTAATTGACTACATATGCCAGCTCATGTATATATGGTTTGTATGTGTGTTAAGCGTACACATGTATGAAGATAAGTTTAGGCTTTCCACTTTACGAGTATTTTAAAAATTCTACAAACGTAAAGCTGCAGGCAAAGGCCAAGCAACAACAAGCGGGGCCTCACTCACTTCACCTTTTGGCCCACTTTCAGACAAATAAACATATGTGTGCGTGTATTCACATCAAATTGTACGCATACAAGCTTTGTTCGGTTTTAACAGCTTTGATAGAAAAGGCAGATGTAGGTATGTACGTGTGCTACATTCTTATTTGCGTGTGTGTGTGTTTCCATGTGCCGCCGCCTCATCGCCACTTGAAGCTGTTTACAAGACTGCTTTTAGGCGCCTTTAAGCTGTATAACCCTTGCCTTCTAACTGTCAGCTTTAAAGATCAAAGAGATATACATATGTATATAAAGTGCATTTTTTTGAAAATTTTTCCAACTCATCTCACGTATTAAAAGTTTCGTATCAGCAAATGTCGAGCGAGCAAACTTCAAGTATTAAATTTTCATTAAGTTTATGTTTATCTGTAAATATGAATGTATATATGAAAAACACCAACATTCTAGGTGTTATATGATAGTCGCATACATACATACACATACACAAGTGTACATATTAATATACGTTTTTTATAAGTGTATGTATGTGAGCGGCCAAGCTTCGGAGTCGGTAGTTTGTGAAAATACGAGCAGTTTGTGTTTGCTTGTGAAAAAGCTTTTCGTATTTTCTTCGCACTTCTTTGCTTTCCTTTAGAAGAAGAAATAAACTAAGTATATTGTCAGCACCAACAAAGTATGTTTTAATGTTCGCAAACAATTAAACTTTAATGTTTCAGTTTAACGCTTGCCCACTTCTTCATTAATGCTCACTGGCTCTAATCGCTAAAGCACGAAGTTCTTATACAAACATTTGCAAATAAAAGTATCAATGACAATATATTTTTTTCTATGTACTCAAGTAAATATATATACTTATATATATGTATATATATGTAACATATTCATTTAAGCAAAATATTGAGATGTTTGAAATACGAGGCTTGGCATTTAAGTTTCGGAATGTCTAAAATTAAAATAAATATTTATTATTCCCCGAGCAAGCTATATTAAAATGGCTACGAAGCTTGTAAAACCCAGAAGAAAACGTCGGAGACCCTTTAAAATATATAAGTATATAAAAATGATTAGCGTATGAAAGGCATACAAAAAGTAGCTAGTATGTTAATCGGTGGTGGAATTAAACTGTAAATTCGGTCACCGATATTGTATAACCTTCCAGAGATGAGCTGGATAGGAGTGAGATGGACAGGGATACAGAAATAAGTATCTATAAGTTAGCCACACCGCTTTTTTGCAATGGGCTTTTAAGCCATCAAAAACTTGATCCTGATATTTTGTAAGTGTAGCCAGTGTTGAGCCTACAAGTATGGTTCTGTTACAAGAGGTCAAATATAATATGAAATGAAATATATATAATATGAAATGACAATTTATTAAATTTTGTAAGCCTTTGGGTTTTTAGAAAACATATAACAAGAACAAAAAATAATAATCACCAATGTCGGCTAACATTATTTAGGCCTCAAAACTTTAAACATTATGCTGTCGTAGTTTATTAGCGTATGTAAAATGTTTGTCCTTTTTATTTTCATGCAATTTATTGAATATGATAAATATTGATAATTTGATACGAACTGGAAGCTACTGAGACAATCTTCGGAATCACTGTGTTAAAGATGACTTATATTGTCGTCGGTGAATCTAGCAGCTCGTACTATCTTAAACCAATTAAAAACATGTTTGATCGATAATATGAACAGTAAACTGTTTAAAAAGTTGTAATAATAATTTAAAAACGTAAATAATGCCTATTAGTACTATCGTCATTCAATTTCAAACAAGCAGTTTCGGGAAAAGTTTTTTATAAATTTTGAGGACCTAAAGCTGATCGAAGCACAGCTTCTAACACGCTCAAGTAATTATAATCCTAAAACCACTTATGTCACACTTCCTTCAAACTCTAAACTTTTATTAGAGCAGCAGAAACTAGTTTAATTTCTCTAAGAAAATAGTACTTAAAGAACTTAAACTATTATAAAACGCTACTTCAGCTGACATCTTCTCATTGCAACTGTCACTTTTTCGTTTACCTTGTCACTGCTTTAACCGACAACTTACTTATTCCGAGGAGGATAATGTCGCTACAAATACGAACATGACAGAAGAAGCACATGCTGCATTTGTATTCGATACTCAGGCACATACATATGTAGTATACCCTTTATGCACGCAAATACTCCAAAGTACATTTGCATTACAAAAGTCATTGCACAATCACACATATACATAAACATATTTACATATTCGATTCGCCAACATTGCTTTCTATCTTTACTTCAACTTTGCGTGCTTTTAACAACTCGTTTCAACTGAATTTTTCCGTTACTTGCTTCCAACACTTTGGCATTGCCATTCGCAAATTTAACTGCAAAAAATATATATACATAAGTACATATATGAGCATACAAACATATTAGGGTGGGCCAAAACATCCTTTTAACTTTTTTCTTTAGATACCCTGAAAATATCCTCCAAAATTAGGAAAAAACAATAAAAAAGTCAGCTTCGGTTGTTCTTCTTCGGTACTCTTCACTAACGCATTTTTTATAGCATAAAAGGGTAGAAAAAGAAATTGATCTAATTTTCATCGCTCAGTTTGTATGGCAATATATGTTATAGTTGTCCGATCTCAACAATTTGTTAGGAGATTGTGGTCATACCTTGAATAATAATATCTGCCAAATTTCGTGAAGATATCTTGACAAATAAAAATGCTTTTTATACAAGGACTTGTGTTTAATCGTTCAGTTTGTATCACAGTAATATATGCTTTAGTTGCCTGATATGTGAGGTTCAGACAAGTGAGTAACTTCTTGTTAAGAAACGGACGTATACAAAATTTCAGACGGTTATCTCAAAAGTTGAGTGACTAGTTCGCGTATATGCAGACGCACAGACAGACGGACATGGCTAAATCGACTCAGCTCGTCATGCTGATCATTTATATACATATATATACTCGTATTATACGGTATCCGACGTTTCAATTTGGGTATACAAACAACGTGGCAAATTTAATATAACCTGTTCAGTGTATAAAAAATCAGGTAAAATTGAGTAAAATTGAAAACTTGTAGGAAATTTAAGGATCTGAGGAAAAAGTCATACATAATTTTTTTCTAAGTCGACTCGTACAAAAGTGACACAAGGTCAAAAGGCAACCTCAAATCCTAAAAAAATAAATGTTTTCAATTTTCTTCACGGTTTTAAAGGAAAACAGTTAAAAGTTTTTTTTTTTTTTGTTGCCCTCCCTAATACATATACAACACATACACACATGCGCATAAATGCATTTAACGCTGTGATATTGTGTTTCGTGCTCATTGTTGGTGCTGCTGCTCACATTTCAGTTGCCAAGGAGACACCCGATTCGGACAATGATGCAACATGTGCGGAATTAAAGGCTGACGAAGGCTACAAGTCCTCGGTAAATAATGGCACAATAAGTCGCAGCTGTAGTCGTCCGATGTCGATTTGTTCGGAACCGGAAAAGAAATGGGTGGAAGTGGTGGCAGGTATGTACATACAATTTTATATCCACATATATATATATAGATATACATATATACATACATATATATCTGCAAAAGTTTTTTGTGTTTTGTTTTATTTGCATTATTTATTTACCAACAAAACTGTGGTATTCATTATGTTCGCATACGTGAGTGAATTAGTTAAGTGCATGTACACATGGGTGTTTGTATGTTTTTACCGTTATAATGTATGCACATTATACAGCACGTGTTGGCTATCGTAAAAACGTGAAAATACTCGCACGCGCATTAAATTATCTGCGTGATATAAAAATTGCAATTTGTAGTCGACAGTCGGTAGTTGACACTCGGCAATTTGCAATTACGAACTCTTAGTTATTTGCTACACTTTAATTACGTTTTGTAATTTGCTTTCATTACGTTTTTTAATTAACTTTTTTTCTGCTCTTTCATATTTCTTTCATCTCTTACAACACACAAATTTCTTACCTTTGTGTGCATTGCTTTTGCGCCATGCCCCACGTGCTACTCATGGTTAACGTTTGCTGCACTTGACATTTCCATTTCCTCTACCTACTAAACGCGTATATCCTGTTCGCTGGAAATGCATTTCCTTGGCGCAGTGCCGCTGATGATGGCCTACGTAACGCGCTATATCTACGGCACCGATAAGTTACGCCCCAATGCGTTTGAAGTACGCGGCCTTAATGGCGCCTCGACTGGCATAATACACTGTGATGATTTGGCCATTCTCAGTCAATGGCTTAAATTGATAACCGATAATGTTGTTGGATTGACACACTTACAAGTGAGTACATTAAAAATCAAAGCAAATATATTGTATATATGTTACATAAATATTAAGATAGCATATTACTATTCAATATATGAGGAGTACAAAATAAAGCTGTTATGGCGAACTCTCACCACCTTACCTAACCTAACCAATTATGTTTGGAAAATTTAACAGTGTCTTAAAATATGTTTAAAAATATTTTACCCTTTTTAAATGTGTATATATTATCTGAAACTTTTCACACTTTAATAGCTCTTTTACTCTGCAACCTTGATATGCCTTAGTCATACTGATCATATCGAACATGATATCTTCACGAAATTTCGCATGCATTATTGTCCAAGGAAAAGGTATGATCTGCAAACAAATTGTTCAGATCGAACCACTATAGCATATAACGACATACAGAAAGAACGGTCAAAATCAAATTATTAATGGACACTTTCTTATTTGTGATGGGTATCATAGCTTCGGTTAATGTTTTTTCTTGTGTTGGTTTGTTCCACTCGTGTCAAAATCTTTAATATTTTAAGTAAAAAAAAATTTATTACTCGACTTTTTCACGATAGCTATGTGGGTTCTGCCAAATGCTAATGCCAAATTCCGACCAAAAATTTTAAGTGAATAGACATTTAATCTATTCACTAATCTAGACTGTTCTCACTGTCGTTGGAGTTTTATGAAACAGCTGTTTTAGACATTAAAAAATTCACATCGTTTAATATTTAGTAAAAGGAAACATTGTATTGTAGTATTTTGTTATAAAAGTTATTTTGTTTTAAATATTTTTCATTTAATGGAAAGAATGGACGATTTTTTTTGATTTTGGAAGTGAATTCAAATGCTTTGCTTTCAAATTATTTGTTTGTTTACATTTTTTTGCTCTTTGTAGTGTCTAAATCAGCTGTGATAAATTTCCCTACTGATAAACAGATGTCGCAAAATCAGAGTCGCATTTCGAGTAGATTAGCTTCTTATCTCCTCGTTGACGAGATTAGCGAGTGTCATTTTTTGTATGGCGATATCTTGTTAAATATAGTAGATTAGCGAGAGAATCTACTCAACAGCCTAAATAACATGATTAAATGTTGATCGAAACATGGTATAAATGAGCCACGAATAAGCATTTATTTTGATTTCTTTTTATGTAGAATACTTCTTACTATCAGTCGGAAAAACTACTAAATTGTCTATTATTTTCAAAAAAAAAAAAAACGATTGTGCTTCAACGGTCACACAGGTGTCATTCAGAGTAGTTCGTCAAAAATACTCTATTCATCGAAAATACTCACTCACACTTTTGAATTCTATTTTATATACCGTATTCTTAAATATAATAGGCCATTGACCCATGTGTTGTCCTAACATTTTAATTATCATAATTTTACACTTAGACTACTTTCCGACAACGCCAGCCTAGTTTCGCCAACACTCAAGCGCATTGTTCGTGCCATCAAATTAATTAGCGTAATTGCAAGCATAAAAGCTGAAAGCACCAAAGTCCACACTTGCACTTGAGTATGTACCCTGTATAGCTCACAAATACCATTTCAAAGTATAATCAACTTAATCCACTACAATGAGACAAAAGGATTCACGTTGCATGAAAGCAAATTTATATGAGCGCTCCAAGCAGCAGCGGTTGATTGCAAAGTGCCAACGGAAACCATGGCTAAAAAGCAACCGATTTACAGTGCGAATATATAGTATGTGCTAAGGAACTTATCTGTTTATATGTAAGTGTGTGTATGTATGGAAATCGGGATCTCTGGAGGGTGATAGAAACACAAATAACGACAGGGATAAATAATAGCGATGTGTTAAAAGTTTAACGCAAAGCATTGAGTACAAAAACAAAAACAAATCAGAAAATCATGAATACATCGATGCCATGAATCGCCATGTTATGAGCGCTGAGACGCGTGAATACAAAGCGGCAAGGATCAACTTTCACCTGCGCGCATTTGTGGTGCCTTTGATGAGGGAATAAATCAACACACTAGCGACAGAAGTGTCCACATGTATAAGTGTAACAACGTGGATCTGCATATACACTTAAACAGGGTGGGCCATTTCACAGTTTTGTTTGGAAAAAAGGTCAAAAAAATAAATGCACGTGCGTAAAATTTCAGATCAATATCTCATGAGCTGAAGTTCCTGATCAGTAGAACCCACTTCCATATGAACAAAATCGTCCAAGTCCACATACAATGTAAAGGGAAAAAAGTATTATAGGGCAAAATCGTTTGATATTAACTTTCTGATATTTTCCACTCTGTAAAGCGTTAAGCTATTGATTTCATTCAATAAAGATAAAATATTAAATTCCTATCAAGTTTTTTCGCGAACTTTTCTTTTGAAAAGTAACCATTCTTTACATAAACTTGTATAGTTAAAGCTTGTTGTTCACCTCTGCGATTTTCCCGAAAAAAATGGAGACACGAATTTAATTAATCAATTTTGAATTGAAAACAAACACAACAACATGAATATTTTCCACGATCAATAGTTACTTTGATGTTGAAAACAAAATTCAACCCTGCTGAGTGGCCAACCGGTCAGAAACGGAAGTACCGGAAATGCAGCAATTCAATGCAAACAACACATATGAGTACGAGGTCAGGAAGACAACCACCAGCCCACCGGTTTTTACACCATTGCTCTGCAATAATAAAATAATAACAAAAAATATACAAACAGAGTTGTGAAACAAACATAAAGTTCGTGAGATAGCGAATCGTAGCAATGAAAACCACATATCGAGTGAGTGGAAGGAAGAACTGAAAAATTGGTCATAAATAAAGCAGCAAATATCTGGCTTACCAAAGCAATGACTATTTGTAAATCAACGCCTTAATTGCTTTTGTTAAAAGTAGCGAAGACATTTGGTCCTTTGGGAGTGACTATATTTGTAAAGGTTTATAAAATCGAATGTCAAATATAACAGTGGTTGTGACTATGAAATATACAAATATTATGAAGGTATTATTTTGCCGGAATAATTGCATCAGTCTAGCTGGACTGTGTATTGTTTTCAGATTGTAAGCTAAGAAATATTTTTATGAAATATTAATTGATAAGCAAAGGTAAATTCGACTAAAGAACTAAGTTTCAATACAGCAGTTCATGAGACTAAGGAAAAAAGTTTGCATTACGTGTAGCCACGCCGACCTATAGACATATATTACTTAAAACGCTAACCTATTGCTATGGAACAATTAATACTTCTACACCGAAGCTAGCTAGCTAACATACTCCCACAGATTTATTTCTTATAGCAAATCTAAAACGAAATCTGAAAACGTACTGACATATAGTATGCTAAGTGTTCCGCTCTAAACAATTTGTTTTGAGATTGTAACGCTGCCTTGAGCAATCAAGTAAAAATGTTTTCCATACAAGCACTTGAATTTGATCGATCAGTTTGTGTGGTATGTATATTTTATAGAAGCCCGATATCGAGCGTTCCGGCAAATCAGTAACTTTTCGGAGCAAAAAAGATAAGTGGACAAATTCAGATTGACATCTTATTCCATATGTATCGATTTTAGACTTAATTTTCATTATTATTTTAGTATCTTAAAGCTCTTTGCAAAGAGGTTACCGTGAGAACTCACTTTCATCACAATGTTCCATACCAATAATTGCTTCCTTATACCGTATTCTCTGGATCTGTTATCCACGAACTCTTTTCGGATTTAAAACCTCCAGAGAATTCTCGCTGGGAAAAAATTTGCAATAACGAAAAGTTATTTGCTAAGGCAAATGCTTATTTGAAAGCAAATAAATATTTGCAAAACGAAAATATATTAATCGTTGCTCTAAGCACCGTATTTCATAGAACTATTGAACATCTATAAAAATTTCAAAGTTTATGCATATACATATGCTTAACTTTCAATTATTGCAAAGCATTTAGTAGAAGTATCAAAATCTATTTAATTTTCGCATTTTCCATTTTCTTCAGATGAAGCTTTACAATCGCAATTTTGCCGTAGGCGAACGCATCGAATACATGGGCTGGGTGAACGAGGGTGTTATTAACAACAATATCTCCTGGCAAAGCTACAAACCACGTTTTCTAGTATTGAAAGGCACTGAAGTGATGCTTTTTGAAACACCACCGGTAAGTACAAAATAAAAATTTTGATTAAAATTCTTCATAATATACAAGTAGCACCTAATAACATACAAAAAGTTGCATTCAACTTTAAAAACTAATTAACGCACTATAATGTGAAAGTTGCCTGACTGTGTGATGTTTAAACATTAAAAACAATATAGAGATAGGTATTATATAGTATTAACGATACCATATATATTGTATTCTTTGAGATAACATACATAGAGTGCTGAGTGGAAATTATATAAATTTTCAGTTGATAAAACGTTTAAATTTTAATTTAACAAATATATGACATCTCTTTTAAAAAAATGTTTAACATTTAACATTTAGAACAAATATTATGTTTCTTAAGCGTTTCAGGTGGCAACCCTAACCTATTTTTTTACCAACCCATTATTAATATAATCCTCATATGAAATTTGGAATAGTTAAACAATATTATTGAAAAAAATTTGACACAAACATTATTTTACTTAAAAACTTCAAACAAGTGGCAACCCTTTACATATTTTCTTTCAAATCAGCAAATTATTACCACAAACAAACTACAAAACACATAACTCCAATCGGTTCAGCTCTACATATTATTATGGCTGTATGCTGCAAGCGTGACGTAACGCAATTTCGTTGCAACCAACGGATTTAACTAGATTGACTTAAACTAACACCCTTGACTTACCCTCGCGCAACTTCGATCTGGATATTGTAGCAGGATAAACTCCTACTTATCCAGAATAGAGCCAGACATTCCAAACATATGTCCTGCGTGCAATGTCCTGATCCGCATGATACTAACCACCCTTTTGCATGCCCAACAACACCAACTCATCTAACACCCTTTTGCCTATAGTCCGATCCCGTCGAAACAGCCTGTTTCTTGGCCTCCCGTTAGATGACCTCGACGACAACCAAACTATCACTAATCATCCAAGCGGGAACTAGATAACCGTTACAACAACAACAACTAGATTGACTTTAAAATTACTATCTAAAAAATAATACTGTAGGAACACAAATTTAAGCTACTCCAATTAATAACTTATAGAATTGACATATATTCCTGGTCCAAACCAAAATTTAAATTTTCAATCAAATAACTAAACTGATATTTGATTGAAACACTCAAATGAAATGGATTTTGAATAAAAATTTAAGAGCTGCACTGTTTGTGTAAAAGTATTTCGCTGAAAGTAAAAAATATTGATCAAGGAAATGATTGACGGAATCTAAGAGTGCATCGATATATGTATATACATACTCGTACATATATATACAACTATCCACATCTGCATCAATATGAAATGACACATTTCTCACGAATATTGGGTTAGCACATGCATACACATTCGCTGTCACTTGCAATAACTATAAAAACACAAATATGAATTTCCCTATTGCTGATACATTTTACGATGCGCGTTGTGAGCATATAAAACAGGAAGTGAATTCCAAATACCAAATATGACAGGCAGTGCATTTTCGCGCCAAACAATTTACGTGTCTATGGCAGCAACAAATCCGATAGCGACAAACCAAACCATTTTCTGCCACCTACAGTTTGCACCAATCGTTGGAAAAAAAGTAGAAAAAGTGCGAAAAAAACAAACAAATGCAAAAAATCATACAAAAAGTGCAAAATATATATGTTCTGAAGAACAAAAATGATAAAAACTGCATAAATGCAAATTTTGTCCTCAAAAACTCGGCCGCATTTTATATTTACATACCTAGATATAATACATACATATGTATATAGTGCAGCTAGTGAGTCCACTGGCCGCAAGCGCTATAGCTTCCGGTGTATTTGATAACTTCCAATTTTATACGCTTTAGTAAGCATGAATTCGCATGTTTTATTTCTTACATTTCCACTCACTTCCGCTTCATTTTACAAGCGAGTCATGCGTGCAGCTTTTATTTAAAAGGAATTACTTTTTTCAGTTGTTGCTTATGTGTAGCATTTTCATTGCTTTGCTAGCCATAACCGTAATTGATGCGAAAATTGCTGTAAAATTTTCATTCTTATCTAGATGAAATGTAAAATATCAATTTTATGCATAAAATGCACTATTTAATTATTAGAGTTTATTATTGACAACAAAGACTTTTGAATATCTAAAATAACATTGATAAATGTGTTAATACCTGAAAATATACGGATATTTGTGCATAAATATTAGACAGACGAGCATATTGTGTGTATACGTGCAGACATATTATACGCTTGCAGCATGTTGCGCTGAGTATAATATTGTAGTACAATAGTATAATAGTTTTGTTCAGCTAACGGTAGGAATATACGAGCGTCATCGCTATACCTCCGATATACTCAAAAAAGTAAAAAAGTACATGGAAAAAGAGTTCGTTTTGCTATGCCCTCTAGAAAAAATTGGATTGCGAAAACCTTTTTGTGGGTCCATCTATCCGTCCGTCCGTGCAAGCGATAACTTGAGTAAATATTGAGATATCTTGAAATTCTGAGACCGTGCTACAACCACGCCTACTTCCCATATAACACAATTTTAAATGCCATAAGATTCTTTCTCTTGATAATATAAGTAACAAACTACATAAATAGATAATGGATAAAAATTTGCAAAAATAGGAAATTTAGCAACTCTCATCTAAAAATTGTGGATATCAAACTATAACTTTTTAAGCTCCCTGATACCAAATACGAGGACCTGAGTGTTTATATCTGTCTTTATAACGAATATATTGGTCAATCTTTGAGATATATTAATAAAATTCAGAGTTTTTTTTTCCTGTTCAATATCAAGCTCTTGTATAAAAATTGGTTAAAATCGGGTCAATAATTCCCTTTGCTCCCATATACCCAGAATAAAAATTTTCAAACTGCCAGTTCACTTCATGCCATAAAGATATCTTCACCGATATTTATTATGAGTTATATTAACGAAACCTAGTAAGTATACATATTTATCTGTTAATAGTAAATCGTGATGCCGAAAATTAATAAAATTGCGTTAATACTTCCTTCGGTCCCATATACCTAATTTACGGATTTTAAGACTTTCGGTTGACTTTATACCATAAATATCGGTCAATATAAATAACATATGATATAGGTATTAGTAAAATTTAGTGAACGTATAACACGGATTATACCATAGCTTAATGCCAACAATGAGTAAATTACCCAGCATCCCATATACAAGTACTACATATAATGATTAGAGTTATTCCAACAATTCAATGCTGAATTATCTTAATGAAAGTGAGTGGACATATGTGCCAGAGTACATGCTAGCAGTGCGCTAAATATAACTACAATCAGCCAAGGCCTTCATCTAACACCAATATAACCATTAGGTGTGTTTATACCGCATATAACGTTCTATATATGTATGATATTTTAATCAATAACTCAATTAACGAATATTTAATTTTTTTTTTTGGTTTATAATAAAGTTTTCCAGTACTTGAAAATAGTGGCTCGTCTTTGATACATAAATATTACGAAAGTATAAAATGTTCGGCTACATCCGAACTTAGCGCTTGCTTACTTCTTTTATTCAATTTATTGACCCAAATGCCTCTTCGCATTCATTCATTCATAACTTGAATTTCAAATTTGTGCATAAAATTGGGGCAAAGTAATGCATAACCACAAACCAAAATGCAGCTATACGAAGTATTTGCAAGCATATGAGCCCCATATACCATATATTGTAGTAGACATATTTAAACATACATATGTATACTTTTGGAATTTTACAAGTTAAATATAAGCGAGTGCGTACATTAATTAATGAATGAGTGTGCGGCTGCTCATGCATATTGTGCACATAAATTTAAAAACATGCATTCGACTAGTGTATTTATGCATGTATGCATGTATATACACACAAGTACATATAATTATACACTTATGGGCAACAAGGCTGTTGAGTCAACACACATCACACATACGCCACGTATTACCACTTACAAATGTTGCTCATTAAAAGTGCACACCGAACTCGTCAACAAATTTTAATTTATATAAATATTTTTTTTTAAACAAATTCGTGAATGAGTTTGCTTGCTCTTAACATAGCAAGTAGTTATGCATAACACACACTTAGCAAAGTGGCATGACGCATAACTATTCAAAGTATGCAACAACAACCCTCTTTGAGGTTGCGTTGGGGCATAATATTATATAATGAATTATACTTGACGAACCAACAATTGCTAATTTAATGTAGTAAATAAGCAGTTACACATTATTGCAGTACCGTAGAGAGTTTAAAAATTATATAAACACAAAATACTTTTATTTAATAGAAGTTTAAATTGGTAAAAATTAAAAATCGTATTTAAAATTGTTATAATTATATTATTTATGAACTTTGAAGTTCATTAGTAATTATTTTTGCAGCATTGTAATGCTTTTAAAATAATATATCTAGTAGTTTTCTGTGAGAGTAAATGCTAATGATAACAGCATAAAAAATTGTAGCATACTCTAAGGCGATTTATTTGTTGATTTTTAACATCTAGAGGCGACCCACTCGCTCTTAAAGTTATACAAAAATGTTGGAAAAAAAATTTTTTTTGGTTTAACTCTTCACATTTCTATAAAAATTACCGAATTTGACGGTTTTTGACTCAAAATTTATTTTGACGCTTGTCGTTTAAGAATTTTTTTAAAACTCCAATAATGACCACAAAAATTTTTTTTAATTTGATAACTTTTAATTGACCTGAGAGAGGACTCTTCACAGCTTCTAGAACACTTATCAAAAATTTTTTACGAAATTTAATTTTAACTCTGGGTCGCCTCTAGATGTTAAACAAAAAAAACTTTTTTTCCAAAACTTGTTTTCCAAATTTTGTTTTCAAAAAATTTTCTTATTTTATAACACAAATTTGACCCCAAAACAATTTTTTTTTCGCTCCATCCTAGTATTCATGAATTGAGAAATTAATTTCTATCATCTTTATGAGATCGAAAGAAGACTCTAGACTATGAAAAATTGTATAAAACACTATTG